TAGAATTTAATCTAAGCTGACAAGTATTCAGACAATAAGAAATAGACTACATTGCAATGATCAGTGCAGATTAATATTAAATATGCATTAAATCGAGTAGAGGATAAACAATTAAATTTACTCTTTCGGGATTGACGTGAAGATAAGCCAAAAAATCTCTGGAAAGTAATCAATGCTTTTAGAACAAATAATTTATTAACATTAAATACACTGCCAGATTTGCAGAAGAATAATTAACATAGATATCTATTTAGAAATGACATCAGTAGCAAATATTAATAGAAGCACGAGTTAATCTATAAAAGCAATATACGATTTATCTACTAGGAATTGAGCGAGAAGATCAAAACGATAAAAGATGTTATTTTACGTTCTTATAGGTAATAAATAGTAAAAATCACAATGTATGGTAAACGGATAGCTCCTACTAACACTGCTAGGAATTCAAAATACCTCAATCCAACACACCATTTTATCTGTTACACTCCATCCAACATCAAAGCTGAGGAAACGTTACAGATTACGCATTCAGTGATCATGATCGTACCAGATAGCATTTGTTAATACAACGTGCTTGCATCAAAAGTACATACTGTCTTCAACATGATTGTACTCATTGCATACTGCAATAAAACGCTTGTATCTGTGTACAGAAAATGAAACATTTTTCATTTTGATGAAATGCTTCTCGTTTTTTGCATGACAAGTTAAATCATTTCCTGGAAGAAGAAAAAAGGCTTTAAGAAAATGAGCCATATTTGCAAATTTTAAATTTAAATACTTTTGGTCTCATTTTGTAATACCTATATGCAGGGTTGTTTTTTTCTTTTTGTTGAGGTTTTTTCCATCTTGTCCGTCTTACATGAATAATATTTTTTTCCCTAAGTCACAAAGCTCTCTAGCTGGAATGACATTTTTAAAAACTCCAGGACTTTTCTGATTCCTTTGCGGAATTTCAGATTTGTTGTCCTTAAGATTATCACCAGTGTCATAGAATTTGGTGTTATCTTTCATATCATTGTAACATCTGTATGCCTCAACATGAATGCATATTTAATCGGCAACAATCCCTGAAAGTCTCATCCTACCACAGAATTTGTATTCAACTTGTAGTAGAAATCATTTATATTCCAAAATTGGAAATCCACCGTATATTATTACAGTGTCAATTTGATTTACTTGGAAATCCACCGTATATTATTACAGTGTCAATTTGATTTACTTGTTTTCAAAACTAGACTCTAAGTCGTCTTTTTCTAATGCAAAATGATAGATTCCATACTCGTTTGAAAATTTATTTATTTTATGTTATTCAAAAGCAAGACGATATGTATATTTTAGTTTTAGTTTTAAAACCAGTTGTGTATGAACATTATACAAGGAATCAAACATTTCTAGTTATTTTTCAGCATAGATAACAGTTTGGGTACTTTTGGTTTTGTACCCTCTTGTTCTTCATCATATTTGTATATAACAGTGACAAATAATCTTAAACTGGAATTGCTCTCTCTGGCGGTAAATGGTCAAGCAAGTGCAATACAATCTCCAAATCCACTCTAAAAATACAACTTGTATCATATTCGGCTGGTATTTCCAACAGTGACCATATAATTTCTTTCAGGCCGGCCTAGAATGATGTATAATACTTTACTTAATAATCATACTGACTTCCGATTGTAAAATTCCACGATATCCTGGACATATTGTAAAGTTATTTGTTACGTTTGGAATGGTAAATTTCAATAAAACGTTTCTAATAGTGATTTTATATAATCACTTCAAATTTGGAATGTAACAATATCAAACAAACTTTCAATGACAGTATTTATTTAATGATATTGAAAACATTTAGAAACCATGTTTTATAGTTTATAAGATTTTTCTATCGGTAAGGAGAGTATTCTATATCTAGTTTTTGTATCTAGATGTCTTTTCATTTCTTTTTTTCTGTTAACGATCTTCAAGTCTAGCTCAGTTTCATTCAGAACTTCGCTCAGTTCTTGATTGTTATTGATGTAAAAAGATCTATAATAAGTCTTCAGTGATAGTTACGTTTATATGTTCCTTATTTATACGTCTTAATGTTTTTCCTTTTTTGAAAAGGTATTAAAGATGCATTTATTTTTTTAAAAAATGTTTAGGCATTTCTTAGTCATTTATAGAAGTATTCATTTCAATTATTTAAAGTGAAAAACTTCATCTCTATTTAACAATTTTGTTTATTTAACTCTAATTGCTTCAAGATAAATTTCAATAAATTATATTTAAGAAGTATTATTAAATATATATTTACTCCTAAATTAGTTATAATCTCTTAGAAAATACTAATTATTTTTTATATGCAAAGAAAATGAATATATTTTGGCGTTGATAGAAGAAAAAAAAGCCCAATCCTAGTGATTAGGGGCTTGGATCTGCTGATTGTAAAACTTCCACAGCAGTTCAGTGAATATGTTTACTCCTCCAGCGCTCTGCATTTTAGCTCCTCTTTTAATAGTATCAAGTACGGTTTCAGACAAACTTTGAATTTTCTTTGAGCACTTAAAGGTCACAGGTCATATTCTAACGTGTTTCAATTTACATCAATTTTGCATTAGTTGAATAAAAGTAGTTATACTCGCACACAAAAAAAATTAACAAGTCTAAAGAAGAAATATTAATTTAATTACTCGAAATAGAAACATAACAGCTCTGTTACTTTCCTTAGTTACAATTTCCCAGAGGGTTTCACGGTTGCAACGGAGTTACTATCTCCCTTAGTGCCAATGCGCATGCCCATAAAAATGTTTCCAGTTCCGGAAAGTTCGGATTTCGCACCGTTTTACCTGTATGGATCAGTATGGTTAAACAAATCAAAAAATTATATATGTCTAACATCTTTTGTTCATACTAGGAGAATAACTATAGACATTACATCAGATAATTAGATTCGGTGTCCATACTAAAATTATATCAGAAAATTAATATTTACTGTCCACACTTAAATAATATCAAATTCTTAAAATAAATACACTGTTCATATTTATATTATACCAGATAATATATATTCATAATAAATCATTTCAGATACATTTGTAGAAACATTTCATTATGCTTTCCGATTTTAAACATTTATTGCACATTTTTGGTTGCATAATTTTAACGAAAACCATCTCAACAATTTGCAATTTCATACGTTGCTATGTTCTTCTTTCTATGTTATTATCTCAACGATAGTAGTTCGTTTATAACAAGAGTTAAGAAAGTTATAACACGAGTTCGATAAGAAAATTATAACACGAGTTCGATATGTCAGCTGATCTTTAATGCTGAATAGTTTAGACCAGAAACGTTTAATAAAATGAAACACAGTATATTAGTGTATTCAGAAGAACTTAACAAAGCAATAATTACAATAGCTATTATAATGTTAAAGGAGTGTAATTAATGCATGCGAAATATTTATCTGGGTGTAAATATCGTACAATATTCAGATTAATTAACATGCCCAATTAACGTTTATTTTTTGCTTGATTTTCTTTTGAGTGGTGGGGAAAAGGATTTTCCTATATTTAAACAATCAAAAAAGTATTTCCTCACATACGTGGTTTTTTTTTTTTTTTTTTTTTTTGTCTTGCCTTGTCCAGTCAAATATAGCCATGCATTCATTCAGGCTAATTTTTAATTATTGACATTACTCACTGATTTTCTCACAACTTGAAGCATCGAGCATCGGACGGTTCATGCAATAACTTTCAACATGATTTTTCTTTGTTTATGCTGACACGTTGAAATAACTCAAATTTGCTGTGGTCTTTAAACAACTTTTCTGATTGCCGCCAACAAATTTATCTGGATCAGCCTTCTTAAATTTACTTTAATTCTGTTTGACTTTCCATGCATTAAATATGTAAATTTAAAAGATCCAATTTTATTAGAGATCTGCACCAAATGAGACAGACACACATATAGACAGACAGGCAGATAGGTGAGAGCAACAAATGTCATATACATACATAGTGTGTCTAATATCGATATTTCTCCAAATTGTATACTCTAAAAATTCCAACCGTTCAAAGAAATAAGGTTAAAATAATTATGAAGGAGACACGTACGTGCGCCTGTCTGTTCAAGCGTGGATGACATTTGTGTATTTTGAAAAACAAAATATTCTTCCTAGATAGAACTTAAGTTATTTCATGAAAAATATAATGAACATTCATAGAAATGCAAGTCGAAATCGATAATAAAGAGCCTTAGGAAGTTAGAATTTGTTCTTGTTGTCGTTCAACCTTCAGTAACACAATTGAGTAAAGCTGTAAAATAAACATATTTTCATTATTCTTCAAGCAAAATATATTGCACTAATACTCATTTTACGTAGCGATACACTTTCACACAATGAAATAATACAAGCTATAGTAATAAGCAGTAATGAAAAGATAAGAAAGTTTTGAAATGGGCAGATAACATTTATTTCAAAGCTGGGAACAGCGCAAGTTACTGAAAATATAAAAGACGAAAAAACAATTGATTACATATTGATAGAATTTCTTTTTAAGATAGTGAGATATCGATCTTGCTAGCAGAATATGAGCGGTCTGTCACATTTTATTGATTTTCATCTGCCATCTTTATTGATTGAACTATCAGGAAGTGAGTTGCACCGAGACACCCTCTGGTGTTTTCAAGGAGAAGGAAAAATCATAACCGTGAGAGGTCCTATAGATGACACCAATCGGAAATGACGTACATTTATCTCCACAAGACTAAGTACATGCTTCTTCTTGTCGAAAAATATAACACTATAAACTATGTCTGGAGCCCACACACACACACACACACACACACACACACACACACACACACACACACACACAAAAGAATAATTGATAACAATGTAAGATTAGTTTCTTTCATTTTATTTTCAAAAAGTATTTTTGTTTATCTATATATCTATTTTTTCTACTGTGCAGTGGGGACAGGGGCACAAATTCAAAAACAAAAAAAAATTGTTAACCGCTTTGGTGGCCCAGTGGTTAGAGCGTCCGCCTCGGATGCGGAAGGTCGTGGGTTCGAATCATCGGTCGAGTCATATAAAAGACTTACAAAAATGGTACTAACAGCTGATTCGCTTGTCGCTCAGCATTAAGAGGTTATGACTGGTCGGCTTGGTGTCAGGATGATGTGACTGGGTGTGACATCATGCAACATGACTGCGGTATTATGCCCCAGTGCTAGACATCACTATAAACTGCCACAATGCAGACATTGAAGCGATATGACTGAAAAATTGTTAAAGCTACGATAAAAATAATAATCACAACATGATACATGTCTGTGGCATGATGCCCAGCGCTAGAAATCACGATAAACTGCCACACTGCATGCATCGTAGCGGTATGACTGAAAAAAAGCTACTTTAAAAATAATAATCACAACACATCGTTTCCTTAGTCTTGGAACATATACCTTGTTGAAAAAAGTTTCACCATAAGTTCTGGGACAGGAAAAAAAATTACTATTTATTTGATATATTTTACTTTCGCTCTTTCTATCCCTCTTTTCGTATACACCATAGAGCTTTCTACTGGATTTAGGAGAATTTAGAATTTTCCCGTCTCTCGCCCTGTTCAATCCCACAGCTTCAGTCCACTTTTCTGTGGTAAACAGGGTCTTTCGGTAAAAGAAAGAACTCCTTTGTTCCATCATCACTCTTTTGGTTACATCCATATGCAACACAGAGCAACATATTTGCTGCACTAAAGCACGATCAAAAGATATATCACAGACATTTATGCGGAGAAATTAAACACTTCAATGGTTAGGTTGAATAGAAGGGACAAATTTATGTCAAATCCATTTTTGGCATGCGGAAACTACCAATTGTTTAAGGACATTGCTGAATAATTTTGTCATTTAAAAGATCGGAGTTTCAATTCGAAGTAAACATTTTTATAGCATGCATACATAACAAATGCGTTTTTTTTATTATTAATATAATAATATCACACGTTTGTCCAATATAGGTGGCCAGTGACATTTAAGCCATGACGATAACCGGGGCTAGTCTTGTTCTAACTGCTTGCAGATTCTCGCGAGAACTGCCATTACGTGCAATCCAAAACAGGTGGACAACCCACAGATCACTTGACATTCTCAGCAACAATAAAAAAAATTGTATATCCATTCACTAAGATACAGTGTCCAGTATTTCTAACGAAATGAAATTCTAGCGGGATGAAAGCACTCAAATATGCTATATCTCCATATGGCTCACAATTATGGTACCCGTAAGTCACAAGACGACCAGCTGTCTACGTGGGTTCGAGTCTAGGATTCGGCGAATGTGGATATGTGAGAAAGCTTGCCAGTAGCTTCTCGTGGGTCGGTGGTTCTTTCCGGTGATTTCCCGGTTTCTTCCTCCACCATTAATACTGGCCGCCATGTATAGCCTATCGTGTGCTGAAAAATGGCGTTAAGCTCAACAACAACAACAACAACAACAACAACAACAACAAGACGACCAGCAATATAAGGCTGGAGGATTAAACTGGATTCATTATTTATATGTTGAATACTGTGTTGCTGCATCATTTATTGTTAGTTTGTATTACCCCTAAAGACCTTTAGATTTTAACTGGATAATTCTAATTCGTTATCCGTTCGGCAGGCTGTTTTTGTTGGTGTTTTTTTTTAGTGAGGTGGGGTGGGTGGGATGGCCAGCGGAAAGTAATTGACGTAACAAGTGCGTAATTCATAAATAATCGTCATGGCCAACAGTGAATGTTATTAGATTATAAAACCCAGCTAAGAATGAAGTTGTGGTCAGACGTCTGCGTTGTGCCTAAAAGTTTATGAAATAATAAAATCATTTTATATTAGTTTACCATTAATCTAATATGTAACTGTTAGTATAAAGGTTGACAAATTCTAGCAGACGACATTGTATATACCTTCACGTAAATGATTTACAAATTCAAATTTTGTGACTTTCTTGTATCACTATACGGAATTTTAATACCTAAAAAAATTATTGATCTAGAAATATTGTCATATCCCCACTGCACGAGATTGTTATATAGAAAAGCACAAGTTGTCTATTGATTTCTGATTTCAATTTCATACTAGATGTCCAAGTATATGGATGTTTGCACACTATTATCACGTGACATTACACTCGCGATTTTATCGAGATATAATTTTGCGTTGCATGAGAGATTGTAGCTGAGTTTATGTGAACATTATTGGTTTCTTGATTCAGTATCATTACAGATCATTATTGCGCAATAATTAAAGTCGACATCATATTCATCAAATGGATCACTTACATGTAAACAAATAACCCTCCAGACCGCAATTACATTTTACCGTAACGCATGTATCTTAATGCCATTTTATAGTGGCCAATTAATGATCCCTTAAGATACATCCTGGTTTTAAATTTATCATACATTTGAAGTGAAAGAATCAAATATTCGTACAAAATTCATCTCTTAGAAGGAATATGTATAAGCTTGCTGGAATATTTTAAAAAAGAAAAAGTTTCATGCAAGTATCGTTAATAACTTTAGATATAAACTTATTTTGAATACTCAGTTTTAGTCATGAGAACTGTCTTATATCTCGTTCTAAAATTCAAATTGACTTCATAAAGGTGGCATTTTCTTTTTTGTAACTTTCGAGTTAGAAAGCTAAGAAATTATTTTCTCTAAAATGCTCAAATCTATGATGCATGTTAAGGCAGGGTTGTTTAAAAGTATAACTCTGTACGGATGTTATTGTTAAGGAACAAATTATTCTCATATTCTAAGTTTTTATCGTGTAGAGTCCGCGTTGATTTATTTATTTATTTATTTATTTATTTATTTATTTATTTATTTATTTATTTATTTATTTATTTATTTATTACTTTTAAATTATTGAAAGATTGTTACGATCTCAGTTTATAATGAAATAGATACACAGTTTAGCAGAGATTCATGAACATTACTAGTCTAAAATAATTCAACAGTCTGGATAATTGGCTTTCAACATATGACGTCCAGCGATTTCTGCCATTTTGTTAACCCCTCCCTCCTCGTCACACTTCGACACAAAACCCCATACCCCCTCTATGTGACGTAACAAATCTTTTAAACACCCCTTTTTTTCCACAATTTTTTTCAATACTGAAAAGTAAATGTATTATAAATTAGTTAACTATACAGGCAAAACAATAATCTTTTATTTAAAATAGTGTTTAATTAATCAGGCCTTTACAATGACTGCTTGGCAAGTGAAAAGTTTATCAAATTATTTTTAATTCAATTATTTTTAAACAGAAAACAAAATGAAATGCTAACTAAACACATCAATCATATCATTTCTTAATAACATTAAAGTTTCAACAAATCACACAAATTCTATGGGTTTAAAATCTGAAGTATTTGTAGATAAATTATTTCTCTTCATAGTTATTATTATCCCAAGGCCGTAAGATGCTCCTCCTCTGAACGAGCTTGGAATTTATTTTTGTTTCTAGATTAACATCCTTTATGGGAAAGGAATATTCCCTCCAAATCAGGAGTATCGTCAATCCAATCGACACTTTCTCCATTCTCCGCATTTGCTGGTATGACTATCATTTCGCATTCTTCTAAAAGTTTCTCTAATTGGTCTGATGCGCTTCGATTGAACGGCTATTTGTTTTCAAAGGACTGAGTGATGCTTAGCATGACCAAAGAGCTGAAGCACATGTAGCGTGACTTGTAAATTCTCTCATTCAACACAGACTGAAGTGTATAGCAATAAAGATCATAGGGAACTGTCCGAAATGTGTTTGCTGACCGATGTAGAATATCTTCTGTTTTGAGAGTCAAAGTTGCAAGTATGGTTGGTAATTTGTGCAATACCACATATGTAGCTCTTTCTGAAGATCTAAGCCCCTCACGTGTTTGAACAAGATGTAAAGGAGGAGGAATATAACTTTTTTATCATCCTGAAGTACGAGCATTGTGCTTTCTAACAGCACATGTTGTCGTCACACTTCACAATCTAACAGCAGATGTTGTCTTCACATTTCACAATCTGAAGCAAGTATTGGCTTGAGCAGACATTGGAAGTCACACTACCTTTGATCTCTACACAATATATCATGTTCCATGAACTCTAAATTTAATGGATCCATATACTCGGTATTGCTTGGGTAATTTTATATAGTCAACAGTGACCATATTTGGGCAAAGGTTTATCCGGCAAATTCAAAGTTTTCCTTCTCTAGCTCAATATCAATTGTCTTACCTTGTTCATCTAAATGGCTGCCATAGTCGTCATGAGGTAATATTAATCCATTTAGCTCCCTTCTCAATGGCGCCATCTTTCTCTCCACTGTTAAAAGCACTTCGTCCTGGAGCATTTGTTCCAACGAAGACAAGAGTAAAGAACATGTTAGAAATGGTGGATGGTAACCTTAATGACTTTTTGATACCATAGGTTTTTATCCGGTCCACCATCAACGGTAAACACGAGAATTGACTTGACCAATTTATCAAAACCAGTATCGATCTCTGTCAGACACAGCAATTTTTCAAAGTCAAATCCATGGATGACTGTTGTTGATGCAAAGTTTTTCCAGATCGGATGGCTATAAACGTCTTTTTACATGACCGTTGCGATGGATATCAATGTTGGGATACACTGAGGGTTTAAGCTTGTTCCTTGGCAGCAATTACCTAGTTATAGTTAGGAAGGCTTACTTTATACTCAATGTCTATTAGTAGTTGACTCTACTTATTGACAGCGACCAGACCAATTGGGAAGCGACATTTATCATCCTGGCTGAAAAAACAAACTTCATCCGGTCCTAAACAGTTCTTCCATGTCTTATTGTAGCTGTACAACACTGGCCATCAATTTGTTTAGTGTGATAATCATTTTGAGCTCTAATTACCTTTACTGGGACAGGTGTTACATGATGCTTACCTTCTTACGGCGAATTACGTTTAGTTGTTATAGTTGTTGTTAACGCCATTTTTCAGCACAAAATAGGCTATACATGGTGGCCAGTATTAATGGTGGAGAAAAATCCCTGGAAAATCCCGGGAAGAACCACCG